TTCGAATACAAAGAAATTCGAACAAAGATAGTATGCTCACGTGGTTGTCTAAATTTGGAACAGACTCCATTTCTTTTACAATGCAGATTATTTTTAAAAATATCCTTTTTAAAAATTTAACATGTGGATCGCACGAGACAATTCGTGTAATTAAGAATTTGTATTACGAATAAAACTTTATTATCCAAAAAACTTTACCAGATCTTTTTTACCCAATTTATTTAGTGTGTCGATCATTGAAACCGATAAGATTATAGTTTATTATTAATATTTTTCTCGTTGAAGTGACCACGTTTATGTCATTATTATTAATCAAAAATAAACATGTATTTTCACAAATAGAATAAGATATTTGTAATACAATAATCACCCAGATGTTGATGTAGAAAACAACCAAGTTCGAGTATCCTTGTTGATGCAATTATTTTTAAACAAACGAAAAATGAATTTTATGCTTAATAGAGTTCACGCAAGCAGAACTCGATTCCATACGCAAAATGCCTTTGGCTTAACACTCCCTAGAATATCAATCTATCTAGACTATCAAATCTTTGCTCCAGGACAAGCTTCTAGTCGTGGAAGGATGTCATAATTGATTTATTCAGAAGCATTTATGGTTGATCAAAAAGGATACTTAAAAGACATTGCAAAAAAAACCATTCATAAAATTAAATATAATAATTACTATATATATATATGTCTTATTGACAATTGCCAATTATACAATATAAGGAAAATATAAATTTGTTTATTCAAATATAGAAATACAAAAACATATTTGTATAATAAACACGAATATAAATGGGAGTAAACATTCATTTTGTGTACAATACGAATGAAGAACATTAATATTACCTAATCATCCTAAAATTAAATTTTTTTTCAAAAAAAAAAAAAAAAAGAAAATTTTTTATTTATGAATTACCTTGAATCCACCATTTTCTTTACCAACAAGGTTACGTTTTGGAACTTTTACATCATCAAATGTGATATATGCTGTACCAGATGACCATACACCAGAACATAACATTTGACGAGTATTAACACCTGGCATTGTTCTTTCTATTAAAAGAAGAGAAATTCCACCCATGCCAGGACCTCCAGTACGGACCGCAGTAGTGAAATAATCAGCAAATGTACCATTGGTTATCCATTTCTTTTCACCATTTACAATATAATGTTGACCATCATCAGATAATTTGGCTTCAGTTTTAATATTTGCTACATCGGATCCAGCGTATGGTTCTGTAATAGCAAGACAGATGTTTTTATGACCAGAAAGACATTCAGGTACAACTCTTTTCTTTAGTTCTTCACTACCAAATTTAAGAATTGGTGGAAGTCCAATACCCAAACCTTTTTTTTTTTTTTTGAAAAAAAATATATAAAAATAATTTTATTATCATCATAAATGGTTTGTGATTTTTTTTTTAAAAAATTCTCTTAATTAATAAGTGAAAACATACCACCAGTCAAACCCCAAAGAATACCACCCGAACCACAACGAGCCAATTCATCAGAAAGAACAAATTCTGCGAAATGATCAAAGTCTTCAGGTTTAATTCCACCAACGGGAGGTTTATCGGTATAACTAATAAGAATTGTTTAACAAATAGACAAAATTTTATGTGTAGATGAAATAGTTTGATTTAATTGAATCGTATATATAATACATAAACAATAAAGACGCACATAGATAAATGTAAATACTTGTATATATACATACGCTGTTGGCCATGGTGCACCTACAACACCAGCTAAAATACCGGCATCAGCCATTTTTATGAATAATTCTTTAGGAATTCTTTTAGCTTCATCCCATTCATAAGCATAAGGCATAATCTCCTTTTCAACAAATACTCTTACAGCAGCGCGTACACGACGATGGTTATCC